TGAAGTTTGCAACGTCTTGGCTACCACTCATCTACTGAAACCTCTGACAGGACTGTGGTTGATATAAAACATGGAAGAAGCACAGCTAATGTTTAAGCAACACCTTCATCTGGACATAAAGACTGTCAAAGTCCATGTAAACAGAGGGAACAGTAGTTCTGCAATTTACTATTGCTAAGACCTGAGTATGGTCAAATTCCTTAAAGGGGAAGAGGAGATATCATCGCTAATGGTATAAAGGAATAACGTAAAGCATTCTATATTGCTACAAAAAAGGAAAGCTTTGAATATTATTTTTTCAGATTGAGTGTGCAAGAGGGAAAAGAGGCCACTAAAGAAAATGTGATTCATTTTCCTAAAGCTTAAAAGCTGATTCATGCGAAAAAGGTAAAGAATCTCTTTCTTCCATAAGCCACAGAGCTAGAATTGAGGGATACAACTCTGCTTCCTCTTACAGGAGAAAACAGAAAGACTAGCTAGTTTTGGTTCACATAAATGGTAATTTTTACCTACCTATATGTCCGTGCTCTGTGCAGAGCTGCATTATCTGGAGTTCATATTCTGGTTTCATGCATTATAATAAACTATTCATATAGGTGTGTTAAACAAAGGCCCTGAGTAGGATATACCCCGTAGAAAGTTGGTCAACTTGAGCTGATAGGCAGGGGCTCTGAATCGGTCCAAGAACCCAAATTCAACGAGCTAAGTTGAGGGGCTTCATCCATAAAGCTGGGATAGAGCTGTCCTAGAATCTTGCCTCGCTTTGGGTTTCCAACACAGATCCTGTGTTCTGCATAAAGTTGACCTGGCACAGGGGAAGGGAAGATGCAAATTTAGTAGTGACAGACTGACAGTGATGGAAAATCTGACTTTGCAAAACCCATTCAAAGCAATGGCAGTGTAATTGAATTTGTGGGATCAGTCAGAAGCTGAGCAAAGGCCAGTTAGCTTCACAGAGGCCAGACCAGAGAAAAACTGAGCTAATGGAGCCAATGCATGAAACTAGACCAGGCAGTCCATGCTTTTCTGGGCTGGAAAAGACAGGAGGAGAAGCGCAACCCATGGATGCCCATTCAAATACTACTGAGCCTATTTAGATTTGTGAGTGATGGTTTCAGGTAAGGCGATATGGTATTGTGAGAGTTCTGGCTGTCAGCAAGCCAGATTAGGACTGTGGAGCTGGCTATGCCCCAACACAGGCCCCTAGACATAGTATGAACCCAGTCCTGGCCACTGCCAGAAGAGTTATACCTGATACACTGAATAAGGGACCATCATATGAAGAACAGTATCCTCTCTAAAGCTACCGCCTCTCTTTGTAAAGCATTTGCTTAGAACTGTCCCCCTATTTCCTCCTGCATAGCTTCCTGCCACAGATGTAAAGAAATTCTGTGTATATATCCTAAGCAACTGCTCTTGTCCACCTACAAATTCAAGAGTTTTTTTTTCCATGGGTTGCGATGGTGCCACATTAGTGAAAGGCTTCTAGGAAACTGAGCTGATTAAAAAAAAGGCAGTGCCATTTTGTCAGGCTAATTATGGCCCAAAACTCCAGATGGGTGCGTTTGGAAGAGGCAACTGTATGGTATCAATCAATGCTGCTGGCTAAACAAAAAGGCACAGTAAGCAAACAACACCTGAGCAAAACTAAAGAGGTGAGACTAGCGGACAAAGGAAGCACCAGAGCTAAGGAAAACAACACCTCCCAGGAAGACCCTGCTTATCGCAAAACACAATATAAACACGTTTTAGTTGTTCTGTTTATTTTTAGGTAAATTATGGATAATGTTAGGAGTAAACTATTCATTGGTGTTGAAAATATCCTTTACACAACATACATTTAACTTAAGGGATCCATGGTCAAACAATTCCTAAGTCAAAACCCTTACTATCATTCAACGAAGATCAAACATGTGCATAACCAGGAGAAAATACAGGTAAGGTTGCTTGAGATAAAAATAAGAAAGGCAATGAATTCTCAGATTAAAAACTGATCAATGGTGGGGTCAAAGAAGATTTACTTCCCATTATATAATATTGAGCAGTCTTATCAGTGTACCATGAGCCTCCTACCCTCTCTGCCAGGTCAGATGAATCATTCTTTGTTTTCTGATTTGGCAACTCCTGTGTGCTTATAAATAAAACAACACTCGACAAGGTCAAGATTATGATCACGCTTATGAAAGAGGCTTGACAGATTGGATGAAACTTTTGGAGTTTGAAAGGGAAAAATAAATAAGGGGCTTGAGAATGGATACTAATGTCTCTAGCAAGAGTAAAACAACAAGCAGAAAACTGCAGGCTTGAGGAAAATAGTGTAGTCAGTAAATTCAGCAAGGAGAACTGGTTAGGAGTAGATGAACAACGTGAGTATGTGGGAATTTAGGACAAAAGTATAAGGTGGCAAAGAAAAAATTGAATCTAATGGAAAGAAACTGTGAAGAGTTGGGGACTCCTCAACTGGGTATAAATCACCATAGCTCCCATGGACCCTAAAGATTTACACCAGACGGGGAATCTGGCCCAGAATTGGAGGATAAAATTAACGTTGCCATTTCACCAAGGCCAGTGGGTGATAGTCTCCTAGAAAAGAATTACTTGGATGAGCAGATTCAGAATGGGGAAAAATGATCAGACATAGCAAGCCAGGTTTCAGTCAAGCAAAAAATATCTTCTTTAGCAAGAAGCAATTTGCTATGGCGTGAAAAAAATTAAGATGAACTGAACAACACCAGGTCTTTGAACCAAGGGGGAAAATCATTTAATAAAAATTAAATGGTTCAAAGAGAAACTACTAGGTAACAATGAGTGATGGTAGTAAGAGACAAGGAGGCGGAAGGGAATGAGCAAGCAGCTAAACTGAAAGGGACAGCCCAGGTAGAGAAAAGGATTAAGCCTGTCAGTCAGGCTGAGCTGGAGTGTTGACTGCTTTCCATTGTCTCTGGGGTCTGTCAGTCTCATGAACCCTTCCCCTTCTGAAGCTGGTAAACCAAAAAACTCCCACAGAGTTTTAGTAAGGGGTAACAGTCCCCTTACATATGGATTCAGCACCTGGCCTGGTTCCTTTGTGAACAGGTGCCTGGGTATTTTGCAGTCCTAGGCAAAAAATGTTTTCATATAAACCTCAGCAGCTGAGCATGCGCATGTGTGTGCGTGCGCGCGCGCACACACACACACACACACACACCAGCCCTGGCCAATTGACACAGGAAAAACAAGCCAATCCGGCTATGTCTGCACTGCAGTGCTATTTCAGGGTACCTCTGGTATCCCGAAATAGCTATTCCTCATCTTTTGAGCGCGCCCATTATTTTGAAATATAACACACTCACTATTCTGACGTCCCTGTAAACCTCATTCCTCGAGGAGTAAGGGACATTTTAGAATAGCGATTTATTTCAAAATAAGTGCCGTGCAGACAGCACCAAATTTCAAAATAAGCTATTTCGAAATTAACTCAAAATGTGTGTAGCTCAAATTGCGTAGCTTATTTCAAGCTCTGAGTGCAATATAAATACACCCTCAGAGTTCAGATGAGAAAAAAGTGAAGCAGCACAGCAGACATATCCCTGCTGGGATAACTCCCAGGGCTACTTCCCAGCCCACCCATCCCAAGAACCAGTCTCCTTGTATGGCCTTAAGAAAGTCACTTTCCTCCCTCTGTACTTCAGTTCCCATTTATAAAAAGCCGATAATATAGACTTCCATTGTCTGACATCCAGGCAGAGATAGTCTCTTACTATATGTTTGGGCATATTCAATGGGCTCTGATCTTAGCTTGATCCTTTTAGATGCTAGCATAATGCAATTAGTAAATATTAATAACATAATCATTCCCTCCCCTTCCATAAGTGAATTGTAAGGACTGACGAAGTTTTAAAGTTGCCATGAGTGGTCAGATATTTTTGCTTACTATGAAAGCCTGGGGTATGTATTAAAAATTCAACTATTTGTTAGAATATTTTTGCAGCCCTGTTCAGGTTAAAATAATAGTTTGAGCCTTCTTCTGAATCCAGCCCCTTAGCTGAAAGAAAGGGTTGAGGTTGATCCCTAAGGGTATATGTCTACAATAGCCCCTAGTTCGAACTAGGGAGGCTAACGAGGGCTACCGAAATTGCAGATGAAGCATGAATTTAAATATCCCGCACTTCATTAGCATGTTCCTGGGAGGTCGCCATTTTGGAAATTGACTAGCCTAGAATGACTGCCTGCATTTTCACGCGGCAGTGAAACGGGAGTTCGAAGTAAAGCCCTTAATTCGAATTAGCTGTTAAATCTCATTCCAGGAGGAATAACGGCTAATTCGAGTTAGGGCTTTACTTCAAACTCCCGTTTCACTGCCGTGTGAAAATGCAGGCAGTCATTCTAGGCTAGTCAATTTCCAAAATGGCGACCTCCCAGGAACATGCTAATGAAGTGCGGGATATTTAAATCCCACGCTTCATTTGCAATTTCGATCGCCCTCATTAGCCTCCCTAGTTCGAACTAGGGGACTAGTGTAGACATACCCTAATTCACGGATATTAATATGATCTGCAATTTCCAAGTCTACAAGGTCAGGAGACCCACCTGCCACTTTTCACTAATTTGTCTCAACTGAAGGCAGATAAACCCCTGCAGCCAAGATCAATTACCTAAAAAATTCTTGTGTGATAACCAGTAAGATGGCAAACAATTTTGATTAGGTACCAAGTATTTGTTCTGTGCTTTTATGGTACCTAGCACAATGAGGCTCTGATCTATGACTGGTGCCTTTAGGTACAAATATAAATAAACACCAGTTATCAACTGTCAAAAGACAACAAAAGTCTCGTGACCTGGCAACATGAGCTTTAGGCTTGGTCATAGAACACGGGATCATACCGGTATCCAAGCATGAGCCAAGTAGCTCAGTTCTGAGGGGATGCAGACATATGTCAGATCGCTGTATGCGTGGGCAGAAGTGGGAGTTGAGCTTACATATGTATTAAAGTCCTTGTCACACTACAGTGTAGACATACCCTCAGTCTGCAGCTTTCAGGAGTCCCGAAGTCCTCAGCTCCAGGGTAGACACCTTGGCAGGCTCTCAGTCTGGAAGCCCACGAAGCTCTAGGTCTTTGATTTCCTACTGAGTGGCTGAAGGAAAGCCAGGAGCTCAGAAGTACCCCAGGGTCTGTTTGGGGGGTTGGAATAGGGCAAACTGCATCTGAATAAAATAGCTGAATGAAATTGGGCTTAACATAGCATTTGAAAATGGAACCTGAACAGAATTTTTACTCAAAAAAGGAAAAAAAACAAAACAAAACCCTGAGACTCCTCAAAGTCCATTGTGAGCCTCGATATTGCCATCAGTTTTACATGGCAGGTGCTCAGATACAACCGTGATAGGTGGCAGTAGAAAACAGACAGTTATCACCTTATCAACATAGTACCTTACCTCAAGAATTTTGATACTTCAAACTGTATTGTTAATGATTTCTAATTAATCCTTTCCCAAAACATAATTTAAATGGCTGCCTCAAAACTTGTCCAACCTTCCTTATGTCTAGGTCACCTTAATGGAACGATGATGATGGAATGAACATTTTATCTTAATATATGCTAAGTTGAAAAGCAACAGCTGACATTCTCTTCTTGGATCTTTAAAAATCTCCCCTCTGGCCTTTTTTAAGGAAATTATTTCAGTCTGTACAATCCTACTTCTATGCTGCAGATACTATTTATTATAGGTGCTGCCTTCTTTCCTCTGATCATGCAGTCTTCTGTCACTTGAAGTCACACTCTTTGCTCCTTTCTTGACTGGTACGTAAGAAGAATTTGCAATTTTTCTTCATTACCTGTTTTAAATACATGTCATTTTGTGTAGCATATTCCACTCAAGATTCAGCTGATAGCACTCTTCCCCTTTAACTCACTTCTCCCTCTCTCCTCCCCTTGCGACCTTCTTTTCTTTCTCCAATTCTGTTCATGATCTGACTGACGGTGTTCGGTTATGAACAAAAACACTTTTTTTTCCTTGATCTACTTACATCTTTCATTGTATTTCTCTCTTCTGACTCTCTATACAAAGGCATTATTAAAAAATACCTTTCCTAAAATACACACACACACACCCTTTTGATTTAAAACCACCACTGTGATGCATTTTCTTGAGGAATCTTCCCTCAGTCTCAGTATCTGTGGTCAATTATTTTCACAGTTTCAACACCCTTTCGTCAATAATATCCCTGAATAGGTGTGTTTTTCTCCCCTCCTTTATTCCTCTCTCTCAGTGTTCTTCAATGTGCTTAACTTTAAACATGTGAGCTCTACTGGAGCCAGTGCATTTATTCATTTGTTTAAAGTTACTCAAATATGCTTTGCAGGTTTGAGAACTTAGTTCTCAAGAGCTGCAATAAGTACTTTGCTTTCCAGCTCACCTGATAAATACATGCATTGGGGTTTGTTTGTTTTTTAACAATTGTTGCTTAAGGCAATTTTAGGGCTTCCAGATTGAGAGCCTGCCAAGAGAATCTATAATGCAGCCGAGGACTTTGGAACCACTGGAAGCTGCAGACTGAGGGTATGTCTATACCGTAATGTGAAAGGGACTCTGACCGTGTCACTTCAATGTTACACATAGTGCACTTGCTACTCTTTTCCATAGTTTTAGGTTTATTATGAGTTTGCTATCAAAACTGCATATGTGTCTCATATCTCTTTTTTTAATTATTAACTTTCCACAAATGTACACAAGATCTCCACTGGCTTCCCACTAATGTTAGAATCAATTTTACTTTTCCCCTCCTTTTTTAAAAAAAGGAAGGCTCTTTCTACCCTATGTGACTGTTCCTCTTTTTTTTTCTGCTTGCTTTCTTCTCCAGATTCACGATTCATTCAAATCCCCACTCTGAGCTTTTCATCACATCATCCCTTGGCCTTGCTCTCCATTTGGCAGTTGTGGAAACTAAGGTCATTGCACTACTGGGGCACAACTAAAATGCAAGTTTGGAACTGAGCAGTTGCTTTGCCATGGTTAAACTTGGCACAGGACCAGGTATATATAAATATATGGTGCATATAACACTGAAACCTGAGCAGGGTGGGCATGCTAAAGGATAAAAGGAAGAAGGAGGTAGAACATTTCAATACCAAAGCTGATGAATGCTATTAAAAAAAACCTTGCACACAAATACGTGTTCAATTACCTACAACACTGCATCGTTTCTATTTATAAAAACAGGTAATTGAAGTACCTTGTGTGTCAACTTTTGACATACCAAGAGGAAGAGTGATATTTATCACATGTATAATTATAGGAGACAGACAATTAACAGGCTCTCTCTTGCATTAGTTTTATTTACCGTATTTTCCGGCGTATAGGGCGACTGGGTGTATAAGACGACCCCCTATCTTTTTAATTAAAAGATAGGGTTTCATCTTATACCCCAGCGCCCCTCCGCCTCCTTTGCTCCCGGTGTCCCTGGTCTGCTGGAGATGGTCCCCAGCAGACCAGAGGCACCGGGAGCAAAGCC